GTTATTTAGTTCTCACTAGTGTTATCGGGTAACTTTCACACAAAGCACTTACTGAAAACATTCAGTTATTTAGTTCTCACTAATGTTATCGGGTAACTTTCACACAAAGCACTTACTGAAAACATTCAGTTATTTAGTTCTCACTAATGTTATCGGGTAACTTTCACACAAAGCACTTACTGAAAACATTCAATTATTTAGTTCTCACTAATGTTATCGGGTTTATTTACAGCTTGGGAGTCAATAATGAGGTGGTGAGCCGAAAATATCATCTACAGACATAATAGGAGCAATTTCTTCTACACTCTGGTTCAAATGGTTCCTTCTCCAGGGCTAGCTCCTCTTCCGGCCAAAGGTTCAAGGTTGAAGGTCACTGAACGCAACATGGATTACCTGATGAACCCACGTGACTCGATGTCGTTTGACCACTCCAAAGGTCTTCTCAATATGCCTGGTCAAAATAATTGCTTCCTAAACAGCGCTGTACAGGTACGTGTCTTTTAAACAAGTTCCATCTTTATTTAAAAAACAAACTTTGACAGTTACTAAAGCTTGAAAACTATTTTAATATTTTTTGGGGAATAGAATATTCAAATCTGACAATAAAATAACCGAAAAATTATATTAAACAATCGCTTACAAGAACTAAACAAATGTAATATTTAACAAGGTGGTCTGTACTGTTCATTTGTTAGGTTTTTTTCTAACTCAGCAGGACTATCTTGTTCAAAACAGTTCAAATGTACTCTGTTATTTACCAGTCTCATACCTATTATCTTCTGTTTTATTGTGAACGTTCCTGATCTTAAGTTGATCACTGTAACTGTGACAAATGTTTAACTTAGCAACTTTATGTAAATAAAGAATACACGAATTGAAATAATGGATTAACTCGATGTCTACCTTGGTTTCTTAATTCTTACTCTTCCTCAAACACGTATTAAAAGTTAAGAGAACCAAAGAAAATGTTAAATAAGCATCTACTGATTTTTAAGATTAGAGTGAGTTTACAGTTTTAAGAGGAACAGCCTAGTTTTAACGGATTTAGAGTAATAGTCACTAAACTCTCACTGATTCTTAGCTAATTCATCCTCTGCTCCCTTGATTGACTGCTAAATTGAAGACAAAATTGAACTGGACATTTATGTTTTTTATTCCTATTAAAATTGAAAGACCGTCCTAAACTCAAATCCAGGAGAACGACTATTAGCATGTGATTTATAAGATATACAATTTTTAGTATAATTAGTACCTAAAAGCCAAGTACTTAAAATCTCTATTCTTGGTGTAAGAATTAGTGCAAACTATTCAAAGGTATAGATGGTTTAATTTTGTAGATTTATTTATTTAGTTATTCTATGATCATAATTGTAGATCGAAAATAAATCAAAAATTGGTTTAATATTCTCAGTAAATCAGATAAGACTTTATAAAATTATGAAAACTTTTACAAAATTTAGGCTCGACATAAAAACGAGCCTAAGCCACAAGAGCGTATAATTTGCCCTTGCAGGTGCCAGGCGAACGTGATGACGTACCTCCTCTGTAAGAGAATCAAGGTCAAATTCGGGGAGAGAGCTTTATTCAAATGAGTCTAGGATACTTGCTTCAGGGACTTGACCTCCTTGTTTCTTTTGTCTTTCAGGCAGTACGTACAGGTGAAGCCTTGCGTATGTGTTTATGTAGCAACGCATACATATCTGGGGACTAATACATTGTTCAATGAATAAGATCAAAATAAAATTGAGTATTTCTGGCGTAATTTTGTATTCATCTAATATTTTTACGTCATTTATGAGATGATCCCTCAGTGGGTGGATGTAGACAACACTTAGGTAGAGTTAGCATAAAGAACACCTGCGGCGATTTAAGGGGTCGTACTAAGAGCATGGAGTCTATAAGCCTGCAGACAGAACTTTTTATATGTTCTGGCTTCCAACTCTAGCAGCCTTGAGTCACCACTCTCTATCGAAGGATAAAAAATAGCATATGATGAGAGACTTAAGAAACGTGATTTCAATGTTAATTTTCCCTGTATTGAGTAGGCTGCGTGGGAAAGCACGTGTGACACTCCACTACGTTTTGTCTGCAAATAGACCATTAAAAAAAAAAGAGAGGTTTAAATGAAAAGATGCATTTATATACTACTTTTTCTGTAGACTGTACAGAAATTGTTCCATTTTAAAATTACGTTTTTAAGAATGTTAAACTATTGATTTTATGGAAAAGACTTCATATTATTGAGACTATAAGTATGTCTTTATCTTGGAATATATATTTCATGTCATGTGACAAAAATACTTTTATGGAATTGTTTAAACTCCCCCCCCCCCCAGAATATACATTGGACAGCAAGTTTCACACTGAAATTGATATTTACGGATATTCTATTACGTGTACTTGGAAGACAAGGTCCTGTGGACAATGGTAGAAACAAATAAATAGCAAAATAATACCATTGGGGGGGGTGCACTGTTTGGCCATTTCATTAAGAGTTTTGCTTCATATTTCTGCTGAACCGCTTTTCACAGCGAAAACGCCCTAGACTAGATGTGGTAAACTACTAGATGTCATAAGATTTCTTAACTGTTCGATTGTAGCTCACCCATTGAGGAATGTGGTTTGCAGTTGGCTCACAGAAAGCCAGCAAAGTTGATGTGATGTTAAGGTTCATCCCAAAGATATTCAATAGAATAGAGATACAGTAATTGTGCTGAATAAATAAAATGACTCAAATCATTGTTAAGTTCAATGAACCATCTCAGACTATACAAGTTTTATGGATTGTTGTATTATCGTCTTAGAAGAGCATCATGGAGAACTTTTCAACCCAGTGATCAATAACAAGCGGGTTAAAATTTGACGAACTAATTAAACTGGCAGATTACATATTAAATAGCAAGTTGTTTCACTTGCTATGACTTTTCTCCCCGTAACTAATGTTTTATAGCTCTTCCATAAATGCTGTAGTGCAGATCGTGGCCTCATGATTTAGGTGCCGGACTATGAATCAAAGAGTTCATGGTTTGCATACTTCTTGCAAAACCACTCCACACACTTTGAGATCGTGGATGTGCTATAATTGTAACAATCTAATTTGATTACAGTAGCCCAGCAGTTGGCGGTGGATACTGCTGACTAGCTTCCTTCTTTCTTATCCGTCAATTCAAAATTAGATATGGTTAGTACAGGTGGCTTTTCTGTATCTTTGCGCGAAATTTTGAAACAAATAAAACCACCAGTGTTATAAGGTATTTAAAGTTAAACCGTCACTGTTATAAGGTATTTAACGTTTTATATGTATATGAAATTAAAGATCATAATTATTAAAAAAAAATACTTGCTCGAACTTGTGGTTAAAATAAGGTACTAAACTTTGTTTTAAAGTTCAGTTGGAAATTACTTTCATTAACAGAAGGTATTTAACGTTTTATATGTATATGAAATTAAAGATAATAATTATTAAAAAAATACTTGCTCGAACTTGTGGTTAAAATAAGGTACTAAACCTTGTTTTAAAGTTCAGTTGGAAATTACTTTCATTAACAGAAGGTATTTAACGTTTTATATGTATATGAAATTAAAGATCATAATTATTAAAAAAAATACTTGCTCGAACTTGTGGTTAAAATAAGGTACTAAACTTTGTTTTAAAGTTCAGTTGGAAATTACTTTCATTAACAGAAACATTAAGAATGATTTGGGATCTATTTATGTCGAGCTATTTAGAACTGCTTTTGGTAACTTCAATGAATACCTGGATGGTGGCAGACCCTTAGATCAACGTTTCTCAACCACCGGTCTACGAAGCGTCACAACCATCTTGCTAGTCTGTGGGATTTCACGAAAAATAAACAAAGATCGACGGAGTATTCATATGTAAATCGTAATGGTTTTTCATTGTACTTCCATTTTAGTGGTTTGCGAAGTTTTAGAGAGGCAGTGAGTCGGTCCCTGGTATCGAAAAGGTGGAGAAAAGCTGACTTATATCATTTATACGTATACAGCTGAAAACAGGTGTGGTACACACGTGGAAATGTTTGGTCGTATCTGAGGTAGAGGGTACTTAATTGCATGTTGTTGTTTTTTTAAGCAGGTTTTAACCCATCAAACCTGTTTCGGTTTATCCCTTAAGATAAATTTAATTTGAAAAGTAAGCTCCGATTGTTTCATTTTATGATCTGGGTGAGAATCTATTTGGACGTTTATTTGGCAGATTGCTTTTTACGAATAAAAAAAATTAGAATGTAGATGCGTTACTATGATACATATTTATTTTTGTTTTTAATAGTGAATATCTTCGTTCATGGTATAAAAGATGTAAAGCCAGTTAACAAAGGAAAAACGAATGCTCAACTTTTTAAAAGCACTCAAATATATTCTTTGATAGATTGTTTAGGCAGAATATTCATGATGAAATTGAGTTGAATGGACGGCAACTGCCTGTTGTAGGAACACAAGTATAAAGGATGACGTTTCGAAAGTCTTTCAGTTTTTGTCTTCAGTACTCAATCATTCTGTTTACAATCTGTAAACGACAACAACAAAACACGAAAAAATATAAAATCCATCTAAACTAAACTTACGATCTGGTTGATCGGGTCTCAAACACCGAGAACGTAACTGAAGAAATGATAGATTGACATTTAGTGATACTACTGAACTTTAATTATATTTTATAGTTCCACATTAGCAAGTTCTCCAGAGTAAAGTGTTAAAGCAGCTACGCCATGAACACTGATCTGTATACTATATCAAGGTTTATCATATCACTCGTGAATTTTTTTTTCATTGTTATTTTTTATGAGAGAGTCTGAAGAACGTAATTTTCACTACAGTGAACATACGCTTTGATCTGACGTCAAGTAATTAAATAATCTAAAATAAATGATGAATGACCATGTAAGACTTGGAGATATTCTCCTTAACTTAAGCTTTGCACAATATGCATTATTGATAAAAAAAACTAACATGTTTCCTAAATTGTCTATGAAAATTATGTACTTTCGGTGCTTTTAAGTTGTCTACAAGCAAAGCACGTTGTAAAAATGTCCAACTGAGAAAAGATAAGCCGTTTTCTGATATGTTTATGTTGCTAATTCCAGTGATTGGAATATCGTTTTTTTCTACATTGAGTTATGAAAACTAACTCACGTTTTTTTCAACATTGAGTTACGAAAGCTAACGTTTTTCTACATTGAGTTACGAAAACTAACTCACGTTTTTCAATGTTTAAGCTTATTCCGTATTCTTCACAAGCTCCGTATCTGAAGTCAAACAAAGTTAGATATATTAACTTAACCCTGTTGGTTTTACATTTGGTAACTTTTCCTCACTTTTCTCACAAATGAAACGAATTTTTAGAAAATTTTCAAACGTTCGCGATCAGTTAAAATCACGTTGTAATCAAAATTTTAGTTAGAATTCTCAAATTGTTAAATATTCAACTGTTTTTAATTGAACACGTAAGCAGCTATAAGGACTTAAGA